CCCCCCCCCAATCTATACAACACAAAGGTCCATAACCATGGTCACAAGTACCCACTAATGGTTCATATCCCAAGCCAGATGAATCTAATCCATACACTCCAACTGTTTCACAAAGATCATTTTAATAGCCTATCAACTAAGCCTAGGTTTTTGGTGTGGTATTTTCCCTTCAGGTTTCTAAACCATCTACCCCATTCATATTATATTCCCTGCCCATCCAATCACTGATTTGATAAGTTGGTCAAATGAGAGACTAAGTTTTGCAACAGATAAAATTACAATTACATTTTAATCTTACAGGTTTCAATAGGTGGGGAAACAAAATATTTGAACTGCGAGCATTTCTCAAATTTAATCTGCACTTAATTTCACTGTTAATGCAATTTTGATTTACCATCATTCCTAAATATTTTAATTTTACCCATGTTTTCAAAGGATTTATTAATTGGCTGCTATTCACATCCTATATGCTCATGATGAAATATAAACATATACCTAGTTTCCTCTGCATTTACTTCTAAACTAACTTTCCTGCTAGCAACTAAAAGACATTTTTTTATATTTTCACTCACATTATCATCAGCATAGACCAGATGCTGATACTGTCCTATTCAGTATTAATCCCTCGTTTCCTTAGACCTTTCTGTTGGCATATTCTAAAGTGATAAAACATCTTGTTTCAGATGAATCTGAAAACAAAATATATCAAATAAATGTTTATCTGTATGAACTTTATTGTAACTTTCATTTGAACGCATTTTAATTAGCTTAACTAGTTTCATGAGTATACAGATTTAGTCATTAAGCAACAGCCAGTACAGCAGAACATCCAGGATGAACATTGACTGTGTGATGACAGACAGCCTTACTCATGGAGGACAGGGCTCCAGGAGCCATTCAATAACATTCACATGTTACCACATCAATCCTGATGATGGAGGCACAGGCAGTCTCTGAAACACAGTATTTAAATCCCTACTTGCATGGCTGATTGCCTAAGAAGAATGTTGCATTTAGTCAGTGTGAAAACTTCAATATATGAAATATTTTCATATTAAATATTTCATGTAGCAAATTGTTACTCTAGAAAATTACCCATCAAGAATGACGGGGAAAACGAGTAATATTTAATAAAACATTTATATTTAAAAGTCTAACAAAGCAGCATATAAAAATTAAAATCATTGCAGTCCATGACTGTAATCTTGAGACTTGCGGGGTGAGGAGGTAGGGTGAAGTTAGGAAGGATAGCGTCTGCCTTTAATGCTCCAGACTTACTGCATTCCTTGCAAGTCTCAAGATTACAGTCGTGGACTGTACTTAGCTTTACTTATTTAAGAATGAAATCTGATTTAATGCAATGCAAATAGTGATTATAAAAATTATCAACAACCAACACATATTTTAACATATTCTCTAAAGAAACCACAAATTGTCATTTGTCACTGGAAAGAGGATTCAAGGTGGTCTGGAAATTACAGTATATGGTCATAAAAAAGAGTGGCCCTCTGTCTCCATAAATGGACATTTAATTCTGAGAAAAGCTATATTACTAAAGCAGTAACCAGAAAGAATATAATATTGCACATAAGAACCCATATACCTCACATAAATACCACCACATTATAATATATAAAAATAGAATATAAAATAACCTAATTACCTTGCTCTGATACACTTAAGCAAAGTGTGATACTAAATATACTTCCACAGCTTTGGGAATTCAACTAAGGACACTTCCAAGGTTCATAAATCTGAACAAAATCTGGTATCCCTGCAAAGTGATAATGGATGTGCCTGTATAAAGAACAACTTACAGCAGGGACATGCAACATATGGCCCATGGATTGAATTTTTTTGCGGTTTGGAGGGGGGGGGGGAGGAGCATGTAACAGTTTTCTTTAAAACTGGCTCATATCAAAACAAAATACAGTATACCTTCAAACTTCAAATGAGAGAGCTAAATGTGTATCCTTCAATGCAACTAATGGCATTCTGAGGGAAGAGTTCAAATGTAGGTTCAAAGACATTATAATACATAAAACATCTTTCTGAATATTTGTGTCACCCTTTGAATTAGATGTTATGGCAGTGCCTGAAAAATTCCAAGTGGAGCTCTTAGATTTGCAAACCAGACGGTAAAGAAGAGAAAAATTTCTGATCGTATTTCTTTTGAAAATCTACAAATTGTCTCCTAGAAATAATTCCCCTCAGCTCTACAGACATGCCATATGTGTAAGTGCATTATCTGGAATACCTATGTTTGTGAGGAACTGGTTCAAAAACTGAAGCATATTAAATCAAACTTTAGGAGCAGATTTACAGACAAACATTTGCAAAGTGAATTAATAGTTGATTCCTCTAATATCAGAGTGACCTGATGAAAGACAAGCATGAATGGTGAGTAGTTCAAAACTGTCCATACTACATAAAAATTGAATTATGCTCAAAAAATGTTTGCATGAATGTGAATTCACAAATTTGCAAATTCAACTACTGCAACCAAGTCCAGTGGCCATGTTGGTTGATATTATAATATGACACTCTTTTTCTGTACATGATTAACATTTATTTTGACTTATTTTCACTTCCTTTTACTGTTTTTGTAATCATATTCATGTATTTAAATGACAAGGACATTGGAAAAGTGTAAAATAAAACAAAACACACTAACTGTGAATTTCAACATTTCTTAATACTCAAGAATATATTGCTTGTCTGTAATGAGGTATGAGTGTAATTTTTACAATTAATTGAACCCATTAACATTAACTGCTAATTATATAGTTTTACATCAATGGGTACTAAAACTTGAATTTGGCCTGCAATGAGCTCCATACTTTTCAATGTGGCCTACACTATGAAAAGGTTGCTTACCCTTGACTTACCAGAATCAAATGTTTTATACTTTCAACCCATCACTCATACTTTCCAGCATCAACAAATCATTAAACAAAAGTGTGAACTTAAACTATCTCTCTACATTTCTTGCAATGTGAATTTTCTTTCAAATTCAAATTTGTTACATGGATTTTACCATATTAGTGACATTAGTTATATGCTAGTCATAACACATCTTTACCACTGTACGTGATAACATGTTTCATATGACAGAAAATGCATTTGAGAGTGCTACTTCAAGATCAGATATACCACAACACAGGATATACAAGTTACTTAAAAAGATTTACACATATATTTGTACTCTTTTATCTTCTGACTAAAGAGTTTATACAGCATACTTATGCAATTCTTGTATAACTGTAAGCAAATGGATGTATTCTGATGATGGAATAGCTTCATCAGTAGTAAAAGGACTAGTTACAGATGGGGTGAATGAGGTTTGTTTCATAGCAAGGATTTCTCTCTGTCACATCTGCACCAGCTCTTGGGCCCTATCAGTCTATCTACTGCGTACCAGGGTCTCTTTTTCATATGGAATAGTAGCTCAGGCATAAAGAATTCCACTGCTTGCCAACATTTATAAGCTTTCCATCAGTATGGTATGTTACAATATTTATTTAACATCTTCTGATCACTCTTGTAACAAAATATGCCATCCTTTCCTTTTATTAAAAGCAAACAGTCAGCCATCCCCCAAGTTTATCTTTCAGCACTACAGAGAGTATAAAACTTAAATCAGACTCAGTTTCAATGTTAGGTTTTGGAAACCCCAAGATCCATTTCCTGAAAGAAAAAGAATATAAGCATTACTGATCCAGATTTGTCTGCCTGTGACAGAATTTTGAAGATGAATTCCACATCAAAAATATCACAAAAAGAACGAAAGTGAGAATATATAAAACGATGATTCAAAGCGTGGCTCTATATGGAGCAGAAATTTGGCAACTTTCGGAACAACAATAAAATAAGTTGAGAATAATGGAAATGAATCTCCAGAAGAGAGAGAGTGAGGCACGAAAGAATTAGAGAAATCATGAGGGTGGATCGAGATATAATTGAGGAGATAGAGAAAAGACAACTGATTTGGTATGGACATGTGCAAAGGATGGAGGAGGAAAGGTTACCAAAAAAGACTATGAAATGGCAACCAAAAGAGAGAAGGAAGAGAGGAAGACCGAGACCAAGATGGAACGACAAAATTACAAGAACCATGATAGAATGGAAACTAACCTCCGGAAGGATGGTAAAATAGAGAAGAATGGAAGAAAATATTAGGCACCGGAAGACCGAAGTAACGGTCAAGAAACGGAAGAAGAAGAAGAATTCCACATGAAATACCCAGTGGTGCATAAGGAAACTGAATAATTTACTTCCTTTTTGGAACACATGGTTAAATGAAACATATTTTTATCATCTGTGAAATATTTATGGGCTTTTATTATGAAAGGTTTTTTGGAAAAAATATTTTTAGGCAGCCTCTGGTCATGTTACATATTCATTAATCTCATACAGTCGTGAAACTGGCATGTAAAAATACAGATGACTGGTGATACTAATTAACCCATTTCTTGATGACAATGCTTATGCAGCTGTACTCCAATACAGGCATTTAAAACATTTAGTGTCATAAGGACTATCATCCTCAGTGCCATGAAAGAAGCAAATGAATGCAGAGGATTAAAAAGGGCACATGTCAGTATTTTGTAAAATGGCATTCTATAAGTGTAGACTATGAATTTATGTGAAACTAATGCATACCCTAGAGTTCGTCAATATTTCATTGACTGGATGCATGGTAATGTCAGTATTTTTCCAAACTGGCATTTTTTATGAAATATAATTATTTTAGTGCAGACACAAGGACTTCAAACCCAGCTTCTTAGAGTCTAGCAGTTTATATATATATATATATATATATATATACATATACAAAACTGTATGAGATTATATATAACTGACTTATGTTTTCATAACTACAGCTCTATTCTGGTGGTGGAGTCTTAAATTACTAATGTTAAGTACAAACTGCAAAATTTACTGTTCCCACACATACCTATGCAGGAGATTCTTTTATTTTAATGAGCTCTGGGTATATGTGTTTGGAATAGAAAACCTAAAAGTAATAAATCACATTTATATCTATGCCATGACATGAAAGCTAAGACAGAACCCAAATAAATATGTTCCTTATTATCATGCATTTGAAACTGGCAAGGTACTGCATACTTCTTCTGACAGCCATCCTGTCCAAAATAGAAATTATACTGTTGTCAATTCCTCAAAATGTTACTTGCTAATGAGAGATTCAACAAAATGACAGGGACATGGGAAAGTTTTACACAAAACAGATAGAGTGTATTGAAGAGAAAAGTCCTGCAAATTGACTGAGCAACTAAGGAGGAAGGGAAGTTTTCAGTAACCATATGCAACAATAACTTCAGAAGAGTATAAATGGTGGTGACCAAACTATTACAAAAAGAACACCATTTCAGTAAACAGCTATGGTAAAATTATTTCTAAGGCTTAATAAATTAATTCTCCATTTCCAGTACTGCATATATACAGGTAGCCCTCGATTTATGCCGGGGATGTCTTCCTGGATGAACCGGTGTAAATTGAAACTCTTTTATAACGTAAATCAATGGGAAGTCAATGACATGCGTTCCCAGCATCCAAACATTGACGAGTAATATAATGACATTACATTTAAAGCTCTGAAATAACATAAATAAAATAAAGGGAACTCAAAAAATATATTTTATACACTTACAATCGGCAATTCGTTGGTCCCGCGATTGACTGTGATTCTTTCATGTGATTGATTTGTAAAGTCATCTCTGCTGTTATGCGATAGTTGCATTCATGTACGACGCCGACCTATAAATAACCCCGGTACCTCCGCAGAGATTAAATTAGTCCTTTGAAAGTTTAAAGCACCAGGAATGAAATTGCATAAGAGCAAACTCACATATGCAAAAGTTTGCATTTCACAAACAGCTTTTACCGATTCATCGATCTCATTGCAGCAAATTCGCGTTAACGAAACATACTATGTAAATGCAGAGATGACTGTATTTATAATTTTTATTCAAAATCAGCGATGTAAGAATTACGATTTAGTATAAGAAGCAGTATGAGAAACATTGTAAAACGTTATAAATAATAGTAAAATGTATTTTCTTCACTTTTTGACTTTCTGGTTTCAAAATCGGCGTTATTCTGAATCGGCGCAAATCGAGGGCTACCTGTACAGCTTTTCAAGTCATCATGAACAACATCAGATTTATTTCTGTCCCAAATAAGCCACCTGACCTACCAAGTGAGAATGACTTCCATAATGTCTTATGCAAAATAAATGTCAAAAAATATGACCATCAAACACACCATAAAGAATAATGATCATAATCATTATATTTTCTTTTTCAGCATGGGTGACAACCAGCAGAGAGGACCAGAACAAACAAAATATTGAGCTGTGATAAAAATTGTGTTCTAATACATATAATAAGAACTTGTTGTAATTCTGATAAATAAAATGTCCTTAAGTAATCTTGGGCTTTTCTTCCCAAACCATTTACACTCACAAAAAAGGACACATGTCAAAGACAAAAACTGTCACTCAGACTCTTAATAAATAAAGAAATCAAGGTAACAAAAAAAATGTATGTATGTATCAGTCTTGCTAACTGCAACCTCAGAAACAGCGTTACTTGATTTTACTAGTTTCTGAAACCTTATAAACAGTTTCTTTCCATTTTGCCTAAAATTTGTTTTTTTGTGACATGTACCCTTTCCACTCCCACAAATTCAATTGTGTCACAATTTCATTCATAATTTCTCTGCATAGCATATTTAATAAACACATTTCAGCAGTTGATTCTACTCACATCTTCTGATAACTGGCTGTAATTAAACCAATATACAGTAGATTCCGGTTAATTGGGCCATAAGTTAATCAGGGCAGCTGTTTATTTGACACAAATCTTAAATATCAAACCTTTTTAATTCGTTATGTGGAACTTCGCATAATTGGGGCAGCCGTTTAATTGGCCCAAAGTGTTCAAGTCCCGATGTGTCCCAATTAACAATAATCCACTAAATATGTGACTATTAATATAATCCAATAAAAAATGGCAACTGAATCCCTTCAGATGTGAATATAAACAACTCCTGAGATGATGTGTGTATTTATAATATGCACAATATCCAATAAAGTTTCATTGTAATGAAGGATTCACAGTCACAGATGTTCAGAGAATCATGTGACTAAGGCTGCTATATCACAGGCGTTTGGTAAAGTACAGTGCTATATATAACAATTTTACACATACTGATGATAAATACATTTAAATACATCTTCAGCTTCAAACTGCATGAGATGAGAGGGGAACTAAATCAATATCATATGACCGTGGATAAAGTAACAAATATATAATTCTTAATTCCACATTAAGAAATCCTTAAAATTTGTATGCAAATCTAAAATGAAATTTGGAAGTGTTGTGAATAAATGCAAACATTTTAATTTCCTACATTTCCTAAGAAAATCTGTAGCAGAATACCCAAAGTTGTAGACATGCCTCATTGCAGTTATCATTGGACTTTCTTGCTTGTGCCACCTGATATTAGTTTCCGGCGCTGTGCAAACATGTGCAGGTAGAGCTGTGGAAATACTGGAACACAGACAGAAAAAGGCATCTCTTACAACAATGTTCTGTAAGGAGACACAAAATACAGAATCTTGGTCCTGACAACTGAAGAGAAGTGAGCCTCTCAACCTGTACTTGGTACGATCCATGGAGATTAACTTCCAATAGTTCCCTTGCGTGTTAGTCATAACAGACCTCCACAAATAATGTTCTGCTTTTTAACTGGGAAGCGTCTGTAAGTTCACCAGGGCCACCTGAATATAAAAAAAGTTGACGTTTTGCAATAATGTTTAATTGTTCTTAAATATAAAATGGTTTGAAATTTATGGCTGGAATTTTCATAGAGATAGTGTTTACAGACATGATAATGCCATTTTCAGTGTTACTCTGTTGTGATGTTTCGTGTGTGTGAAGGAATCATAATGAAAACATGCCCCTTCTGGAACCATGAGGATCAGCCTGTCTTTGTGGGAATAGGACAAAAAAGACCCCAGAATGTCCATAGCTTATGCGTGCATTGAGATCACTACAACCCAATCTCAAGGTACACTTCAGACGAGTTAATCTCTGAAAAATTACTGACAATTAGAAAGTCAGAGGCAAATCCTTTACCAATGTCATCACTGATCGAGTCGTGGCTTTATGCCCCTACCCCCAGTCAGATCTCTGAATTAAAACGATGAAAATGGTACAGTATGAGATATCAGGGTGGAATAAGGACCAGGTTGAAACTTAAGGTTTTGACTGCAAAGAACATTCTGATTGATATTAATCAGTGAATGAAAGTTTTTCATGGGGACAAACATACAGACATCAACATTGGTCTACATTGGGCTGCACATGTCTGTGATGCAAACCTCAGACATGCCAACCTGAGTGACAAGCAGCGCAATGTAAAACCAGCCATAATCTCGATAAAATGATCAAGGGGAATTACTGCACTTCTCAAAAGGCAAACAAAACTACCTTTTCACATGACCAAGTGTAGGCGATAACTGCTGATCTTGAACACTGAAACTCATATGCACAATGGGTTCCCCAAATTCTCACGGAAGAAGTAGAATAGCAACGGATAGACAACAACTGAAAATTCTGTTGTGATATGAATGTGAAGGCAACATATTTTTGTGCATACTGTTACTGGGGACAAAAACTAGGTGCAACATTTCAAGCCTAAAAATTATAAAGTCACTGGAATAGTTCACCAGAAGCCAAGACGTTTGAGACCACACCTACTGCTGGCAAAGACATGAACATTGCTTTCTTGGATGTTAATGGCGTAGTATGTTCAGAATTAATATCTACTGACACCATCATGAACTCTTACCACTGCAACTGCCCTTCCGCTGACTGTTTTTCTTCTTACTCTGGTTGCCCCGGGATCAAACCCAGTAGTGTGCCCGGTTTGCTTGCGGTTACAGCTTGATATAAAGCGGAAGGATATAAGGAATAATAATTGGTGTAAGGTTTGTCGGCGAGCAAGATTGTCAGACTCTCAGGGATTATACGGGGACTGTGATAGTTTGAGCGGCCGTGCGCCAAGGACGTGAAATCTGTGGGGATGATCAACTGCAGACCACACCGAAGTCACCTTGGAAATATTCCACCTTTTAATTCCTTTCAATAAGTTATGCTGATTTTTGGGCAGCGCGATGATTCGGCTGTTGTATTTGTACTTGTAATTTGATGAATCGAGGAGAAACTGTCTACTTGCCTTGAAGAACCGAACTTTTAGAGAGCAAGCCCCAACGCAACCTCGCTTTTTATATTCCCGCAACGTAACTGTTTTTGAATTTTGAATTGAATATGACAATCCGATTCGTCCCCCAAAAAGTCACTTATGACGTCGGAAACGTGCCGAACAGCCACATTCAAATTCCATTGGTCCGAGTCGTAGTGGAGCAGCGGTCATCTGGCAATCGTCACTTCACACCTACTAGGGCGCCCCAAACCAACGGTCACTAAACCGAATGTTGGGGGAAGAGACTTTCACACGCCAGGATGGCGCCACTCTCTTTCCCAATGTGATACATTGGACAAAGCCAAAACTTAATAAAATCACTCAAATTTTGATGAAGTGAGGTGTACCAAGTATCATCTAATCACACCTCCTTCATTCATATAAACCAGATTAATATGCCAAAGCCTGGTTTACCCCTCATCTCAAGTTTCAGTCCGTTCGGGAATTGAACCACGGACCTGGACTGGCACACCACTATGCCAGAATGCTGCAAAAATTGGAGGTACTTATTCAAGAAATTCATCCTGACATGTATCTAGTTTTCCTCCAACATGACAATGCAAGATGTCACACAAGCTCACATACAACTGCAGAGATTCAATGCCTTGATTTCAGTATCTTGGATCACCCACCATACATCCCAGACTTGGCTCCAACTAACTTCCATCTCTTCCAAAAACTGAAGGTAATCACTTCTTGTAAAACAAAGTCAAGACAGCAGTAAAGATAAGATTATACCAACAAGATGCAGTTTTATTATGACAGACTTATTAAACTACCTGAACATTGGCAGAAATGTGTGGACAGCAAAGGTGGTTGTATTGAAAACTGTGTAAAATTACAGAATAAAGCCCAAGAAAAGTAACCATTTCTGTTGCAATAAAATAACTATTTTCATTATAGGAATGATAAAAATTAGGAGGAATTCCTTTTCAGCATGCCTTTGAATAAATAAATTTCTCAGAAGTGTGATAGTTTTTGTAATATAGCACCAAAAACCTTTTAGACAAATAACTTGCATATTGTCCCACCATCCACTTTTACAGTTAAAAATACTAGAAAAAAACAGGGGAATTATGTGGTTTAATGATTGTATTTTGCAAAATGTTATTATTATCCTTTGTTCCAAGAATAAGTAATGAGCATCTACTTTTATCATCATGAATTTATACAACTTACATGGGATGTATAAGAACATTATGAAGAGCAGAAAGTAATGGTAGCTGAAAGTGAGATTCAGTTTGTTTGGCATCTCCAGACTCCACAGCTTCTTGCTGCCTACATATGCCTGAGCTGCATGCAAGCACAGAAGTTCACCCATCACTCCAATAGGGTACAGTGCAATGAAGAATGTGTACCTGAGCACAAGAACAAATCATGAGTTATAGTGCACAGAGTTAAGGGTATTGCTCCACAACACACAAACCCAATCTAAGACTTCCTCATTACTAATGACATTCACCATTTTCTTTATCTTGATAGGTATATCAGACCACCCTACAAAATTATTAACACTTCCTTAATGTATTCAAAATAGTACTGTGTATGTTTATATGTCAAACAGTATATTATATTGTTCTTATAACTAATGATACAATTTTTGTCCTTATGTTTTTGCATTTGATGTTTAATGTATAAATTTGGCTTTCATGGATAAGGCATTTTGAATGTTGAAGTTATCCACTGTTTCAGCAAACTCTGCAGCTGCTATCTTCAGGGTGAATGGGTTGTCCCATTGGATAGCACCCACTTCTCTGCTCACCCAATCACATCTCTCAGTTCCCCCTGCCAGATCTGTGTACGTAATTTCTCACCAACCCCACACACACACATCACCCAGGAGATCCATCACTTTAAAGGTATGACTAATGAAAGCCCAACAAGCTTACTGAATGAAGTAAGATAATGAATTAAAATGATAACTGACACATTTGGACATAAAAATATCAATACTCATCTCATAAAGTTGTGTCTCATTCCAGACAAAATCATCACCCATTATTCTAAGTAGAATGAATGCAATGCCAGATAAAACCATTCACAATTTGCAGCCTGCCAATGTGTTTTGTGAGGCACATATAAGAAGTATTTTAATTGAGTCCAATTCAGAAATCTTAAGGGGAAACAACATCCAATGTCAATATGGCAGTCTTGGTAAATAATCAATCATACAAGGTTATTAAAACATTAATGAAGTGCTTTATTGCACTAAAATGACATATAATACTTAACAGATATTTCATGAAGCTTGGTTGATAGAAGATACACATTGTGATGATGAAAATGATTACTATTTGGGCTCTATGTCAACTATGATTATTTTAAAAATCAATTTACAGTAGTGTACACACAGGCAAATCAGAAAAAAACAGTTGCTAAGACTCTATCTCTTCAAGTTTGCGACACAAACTCAGCTCTGTCCACAAGTATTAGTTTTTTAGCCATTCCAGTCCCCAAACTTGGTTCTCTTCACACAACACAGCCCCCGGCTCACAGCACCACACTGGACTGCTCGCTGGCTCCTCAGCCACTCTGGTCCACTAATTCGGTGCTCTTCACACACAACTTTCAGCTGTCAGCACTACACTGGGCCACTCAATGGCTCCTTGCTCTCACACTCTCACTAGCTCATTATCTCGTAAGTTTACTCATGTACTCTTTGTCTCACTGTCTCGGTAGTCTACTCGCTGTTCACCCATTGTTCACTGTTCCACCACTGTTTGCTTGCTTCACAACTGTTCACTTCTGATCCACGGTAGACCACCAGCCCTTCGGGAGGCAACTCTTTTATGTGTCGGCCCATTCTTCGAACATTCCAGGCCAAGAACCTTGTATGTTCTCTTTCCCAAACCTTCCTTTCGGTGAAGGAATATAACGTCCTGGAACATTCCGCAACAGCCACACCCACAGCCCACTTCCACTAGCCAGGGAGGGAGAGTAGAGGGGACCTTCCCCACCAGTGTGAGCCATCTGCCCATTCAGTGCCACGTCACAATATACTCACTCACTCACTCTCACACACACACACACTGCCCTGCTTGATTTTATTTATTTCGTTTCAAAGACATTAGCAATACTCTCACATGAATATGCTAGGACTATCCACTACAGGAACATTATAATGTCAATGGTGGTGGCAGTGGTAATGACTAAAAGTATAACAAAATGCTGATGATAATTCTCTTTCAGATTGTGAGGCCATCATCACAACTGTCTGAGACACTCACCGACACCACACCAGGAGGTAAGGCACTGCACCCAAGAGGTTTAGAGCATAGTACAGGTATCGTATCACCTCAGTGATTGACCATGCAAGCAGAGCAAGTGGAAGACCAGAACTGTCTGGCCCTGTTGGGGTTGGAAGTAACACTCCACATACCACCAAAACACGTGAAAACACCTGGAACACTGTGATCAACACATTGGATGGAACAATGTTCGTGGCAGCATGGACGATCTGAAACACAAACCAATTTGTTAGCAATTCAACTAACCACAGACAAACATTCTATGATGTAGCATGTTTACAGATAAATGAATTAAGTCCCATGTCACAGTCCAAACCCCTACACACTGCCCTTCTACACACTTCCACTCTCACATTACACCCATGAAAGTACAGGAACAGAACTTTCCTATGTAAATGCCACCCCTGCTACTAGCCACCCGCCAGTGTCTGTAACAACACAATTATACCATTAAGCATGTTGATCAAGTCTGATACACAACCATGTTATTTTGTTTCCATTGGTTGTGTTCATTTCTTTTACAATGTTTCTCCTCTCCTGTGAGTCACATTAAACATCTAATGAGTCACACACACTGATTGGTCAGACCTAGAGAACCTGAAGAAGATGAAGAAGGCCTTCAACCAAAAGTACTATAAGGGCCAGTTGTTGGCTTACATAAGGGTTTTTCACAGCAATCACCTCATGAGACTCAGGTAAACCAAGAAACACAGCAGTCAGGATAAACTTCTGACTGAGATTTGAATCTGGCATCTCCCATATTCAATGACAGTATTTCATCAGTGCAGCAGATCTGCTCAGCAAGTAGTCACAAAAACTACAACCATGACTTTACCACATCAATGAGAAAAGGAAAGGAGACAGGAAGCAGATCCACTAAGACACAACACTGCCTCTCTTAAAGATGATCTACAAAATAATTTTACTTTAAATACAGAGAAAAGAAACCAGAATGAGAATCTCTAAGAACTAAATTATACAATAAATATGTGGACCTAAGATAGAGGAAGTGCAGAACAGAAGAACTTCCATAGTAAGCAAGCAGCTTGAGAATTTGTACATAAATACACTAAGTAGGATAAAATGGGTAACACAGAGTACAAAGAGGAAATGAAAAATACAAAAATTTAAGTTGGAAATCTCAATGAGAGGGGGCATTTGGGAGACTGAGATATAGGATAATATTAGAACAGACCCTGGAGAAATAGGTGTGAGGTTGTGAAACAGGCCATGTGGCCCATGTCTTGATTCTGTAATGAACCTTCAGAATGTCTTGAACAATTATAAACTATCAGCTGTTCATGAAAAAGACCATGTCTGATAGTCAGTAAAAATTTACATACCTCTAAAGCAGCTGCATTCTGAAAAATCATAACAATCGGTTTCACGATCCCCCACAAAGGTACTTCTTTCGGACCTGCCACATAGTAAGTGATGAGTTGAAATAAGAGGTATGCCCATCTGAAATGTTACAGAAGCAAACTTAAAATGTGAAGGCAAATTCTGTTTTTTGGTTGAGTGAAAAACTCAAAATGAGCATAAAATAATATCCTGCAATAAGAAGAGGGACAGAAACCTTATCCACAACACAGCATCAGGGAATGAAAAGACTCACAGGTGATAATTCATTAATGGAATATATTAAAAAAAATTTACGTCAATCACAAATATAATAATGTTAAAAGATTAAAACATCATTTAATGTTCCCCATCGAGTACTCGATTACAATAGGAACTTACACGACTAGTTTCGGCTATAATTTAGCCATCAACGGGTGTTATGTAGTTTAAACTTGTCACTGAATTACTGATTTTTATTGTTTTTTGCGATTTTTAGTCTTCATTTTTCTGATGGTGTTCTTGTCCATTTATATTGTTTCTTCGTTTCTTGTATTAACACAGGTCACTATTAGGTTTGTATTACGTATTTTGTAGTGACGTCAATATTTTGTGTAGGACTGTGAAGTAAAGTTTCAATTTTATCAATGACAATTGAAAATAGAATATAGAAAACAAAATAAATAGTAAAAATAAATCATGTGAACTTACCCAAGAAGTAATATCGTAATCGTATATAAGAGAACGGAGATGAACTGGACTGTATTGGAGCGTGGCTGGTTACCGACTGCGGTGCTAGTGGGTGAAAGGTGGTTTGTTAGGGTTGAGGTCAAGGTACTGAAGTGCTTTAAAGATGGGGTTGTTAAGTTCAATACTATTATCATTAAGGCATAAGTTTTGTTTATAATTTTGATATATGTAATATTTTTCTATTGTGTCCCTGTGTCTTTTGTTTTTTATTATTTTCAATATGTCCATTGTTTCATTGATTGTGTTATAAGCATGTCCTGT